ATTTTAATATTTATATTTGTAATTATGAAATATGAAAATAGTATATAAAAATAATAAAATTTAATTATAAATTTTATCATGATTATTTAACTCTCACACACACACACAATTATAATATCTCATTTTTATACATACTCATTCCTTTATCCTTCTCTCTCTCTCTTACTCTCTAACAAATCATATTATTTCTGTAACCCTCTCCTTCTCTTTCACACACAATAAAATGTAAAAATACTTTATTTTGTCATAACAAACCATATTAATAAACAAACTTATTGCCTAAATATGATTTTTTTAATAAAAAACTTGAAAGAATAATAAAAAGTTAAAATAGATTTTCAATAGCAACTCCTTTTAGTGATGACAAAAAAGGTCATCGCTGAAAGGTGCTTTCAGTGGACATGTATAGTCATTGCTAAAAGCTTCTTTTAGCGGTGACAATTTCTAGTGGCGATGTTAGGAGTTAGTTTTGAAACTCTCACTTTTGAAAATTGATTTTTAGTGATGACTCTAAAAAGCATTACTTTTAGTAGCAATATTTATGGTCACCGCTAAAAGTAAAATTTTCAACGGAAATCTTTTTTCTTGGGGTAATGTTCGTGCTTCCTACTTCCTAAAATGCATTATCAAAGAAATATTGGCTTCTAATCCATAAGTTTATAAGTTCAAATTTGTGAGGGCCTTACTAATGAGTAATTTATAAGTATATCTATAAGTACTCTTTGAACTTAAAAGTATACCCTAGTCCTGGTAAGTTATTAGTACCCAACTATAACCTAAAATTTTTTCTATCAAAAAATTTTCAATTTTATTTATTTTTAAATAAATTGCGAAACTCTATATGAGCTTGGGCTAAATCCCCAAGGATGGAAAAACAATTAAATCCAATATCCCTCATTCGGACTTAGTTTCATGCTCAAAACGAGGACCACCCACCCTCTCGCTCTTGTATATGTTACCTCGAGTTGGGCTGGCTTTGGGCCTAGAGTTGATCCTTCTTTAATTTGGGCACAAGAAAAGTGGTTGACTTATGCGCATCATGGATTGTGAAGGGCATCCAAAGTTACAAGAACAGCCCAACAACAACAAACAAATGAAAAATCAAAGACATAAAAGAATGACTGGTTCGGGGTAGTTGGATTGTTCGGAAAGGCAACTTCAATTATGTGGTTCATAAGTTCTCAGTCCAAATTTATTCATCTTCGTGGAGTAGGGAAGGAATTACATTTTGTTTATTTTGGATCGAGTAAAAGGAGAAACTAACAATAATTAGCTGCAACGTGTTATTTCTTTGATTTTTTTCAATGCATATTTGCTGTGCGGTTGTCAACTCATAAATTTAAGATAACTTATGGCAAAGATATAAACTTAATTTGTGAACTTAGATCATGAACTCATAAGATCTGAGTTTACTAGCTCATCTTTATCAATATATACTTGACTCGATTAACTTTATAAAAATGGTAAACTTAAAAAGTCAACTCGTGAGTTTAACTTAATTTATGGAAGGCACAAGTTTATGACAAAGTTGACATAATTATGTAAGTTAAAAATAGAAAAATGTTAAATTTATGGAGTCAATTAATATGTGAGTTTGAGTACATGTTTATCTTTGATTTAGTGTGTGTTTGGATTAACCACTGAAATAAAGGGTTTTGATAAAAATGATTTATAAAAAAATTGAATTATGATTTATACGATTAATTTATTACAATTGACGCAGGAGCTCCTTTAAAAACCTTACAATTAAACAAATATTTTAGCTCAAAAATAGATTTTAGAATAAAGAGGTGTTTGGATATGTTCAACAAAACCAACATTTTGCAATATATAATTGCACATCTTGATCTTTTCATATATTAAACTTATGATAGCTATAACAACCGCCACATGCTTTCGGTCCCAAAGAAGATAAGATAACAACTTCTTGTGGTCCAACGAGGATTGATAGAGTCGGATAAGGAAAATACACAGTTTGCGAAGTTCAATACAAGAAAAGTGTTCGATTTTTTTTTCTTTTTGAAAAAAGTTTTTACCACAGAACAAAGGCAAGGACGCATAATTGTCATTTGAATTAATTAATATGATTTTAGGAATTATGGTGTGGTTGTTAGGATATCCTTATCAAGTATTAGTATTATATGAGTCTTAATTACGTTTTTACTTTTATTGAATGAATATCGAGACTATACAAAATTTTATCTTGATAAAAATTTAACTTTCCAGTTTATGAAAATGCATGGACTTTATTGAGACTATATATATATATATATTTGGAAAAACAATCTTCTCCGACTTCTAATTTATAATCATCAAAACATGAGAATCAAATATTTTTGCCCCTCTTTGATCATGACAAAAACTCTAACGCAACAAATTAGTACTCCCTCCGTCTCTTTTTATAAGTAACATTGAACTCCATCATATAGATTAAAAAAAAGTTAGTTAAAATTGGTTAAAAACAATATATGTGTAGAAATTGAAAGTTCTTTGTCCAAAATACCCTTATTTATGTAGGAGAGAGAGCATAAGAAAGAGAATAAGAAAATTATTAACAAAGATGACTGTGAAAGAGAGAACATGGGTGATAGAGAGAGATGATGATTTGGAAAATGAGATAATAAATATAGTGAGTATTAAAATAAGTAATTAATGGGATCAAAATAGGACATTTGGTACAAAAATTTAAGATAACTTGCAAATATTGCTTATATTTGAAGACAAAAAGATATGATAGTTGTTGCTTATAAAAAGAGATGAAGGGAGTATTAAAGGTGCTCTCCCTTAATATATGCACCAACATAATGTGAACGAATTATAGATAAACCAGAAAGAATATTAAGAGGAACAATGAACTGAAATATATTAACAATTTGAGGTAACACAAGTTCATTCCCAAGTTCAATTTCAACAGCCAAAGCATAAGTCATTAATCAACAAATGAAAAAGCAAAGTAAACCGCCTTCGGATCAACTAGTAAGGAGATTGTTTCAGTTTAATAAAAAATCTTGAGTTTCAGATTTGGGAAGGCAAGAATATTGAACCTCGATGATGGAGGTAGCAACCATAAGGGTTTCACATCCCCCTAATTCATATTAGTATGGACTAGTAGAGTTTCCCATGACAAGAGGCTAGCATGAGATACTGGATGCATGCAGGGAAAAAGAAGACTAAATGGTAATAGTTGGACTGTTAGGAAAGTCAACTTCAAGTCTTCAACTAAATATGTGGTCCACAGCGTCCAAAAGAATCTCCCAATTTCTTAATCAATTACATATAGCTTATTTTGGGTCAAAAAAGAAAAAAGGAAACCAACAATAATTGGTTGGAACCCCCCCTTTTTTTTGCCTTCTACCTTTTCAATTTGGATTTAATGCTTTTAGGTACATTTTCCTTTGATTCAGTGCATAGGTAAGGGTTAACGGACAGAATAATAGACTCTAGATAAAATTAATTTATAAAATCGGTTTTATTGAATTACGATTTATGACAAGTGGTTATCAGAAACTCCTTTAAAAAGATTATGGTTCACCAATATTTAGTTCAAAACCATATTTTACCATTATGAATAATTTTAGCACAACAAATATTTTGCCATAAATGGTCAATTATAAATTTAATCCAAATAGGCACTGTAAAGATGTTTGATTTGGGGTTTATAATTGATTTTAGAATGATTTATATGGATGTTTGGGTATCTTTCTAGGGAGCTACAAGATCTTGTCTTCAAAATTGATTATGAATGCTATTTTAAATTTATAAAGGTCGTTTTAAAATATTTTAGGTTTGGTCATGATAATTAGAAATTACTTAGAATAACTTCTGAAATTAATCACCCAACGCAGTCCCTTCAAGAAAGACCCATTTAAAATACTCTTCCGATTCTTAATGTAAGATTTAATTAACTAATTTGAGTAGATTAAGAATATTAGTTAAATTATTTAATGTGATATGTTATTTCTAAAACACCCTAAGCATCTTTCTTAATTCTCTTCCTCCCACTCTTGCACAATTATTATTTGAAAAATATCAATAGAGTTAATTTGAGAAAAAATTAATAAATATGTGAAATAAATATTACATATAGGACCAATATCAACTCCCCAATTAGCTCCTATATTAAGGACTGGAGGAGTAAATTAGTATATATCTTATCTAAATTGATTTTAATTTTATTGTTTTATTTATTTATGCTCTTAAATAAAAAAGTCCAAATGAGAAGAGAATTGCACATCTTGATCTTTTCAGTCACCTTATATAACTATAATAATAGCCGCACGCTTTCGGTCCCAAAGAAGATAAGATAGAAACGTCGGTGCTCTCTTGCGGATTGATTAGAGTTTTTCTTTTTGTTGGAAAAATGATCAAATAATACTAAAATAAAAGATAGTATTCTAGCAAGTATAGAACTGAAGTGAAATAAAAATGAGAAAATTTAGATAATACAAAGAGCGAAGCATGGCTACTACTACTCCAAATGAGAGAGTATTTAACAAAGAAAGGTGATGTCCTTCAAGATAATCTCATTATAATATTGTCTTTGCAGTTGTAAAGCTGAGCAACTTGTTTGATGGAGGCCAAGATTTGAAGCGATTGATTACTCGAAGTAATTTAGTTGATGAAAAATAAAATTTATTTCATAGAAATTATAATGATGTTTGATATAAAAATATTATGTGTTGTAATAAGCAGAGGAAGGAGTAATTTTTTGTAATAGCTTTTCTTTGCATTAGGAGTCTCTCTCAGACCCTCACACACTTTCATTCATGTAACTTTTGAAAACGACACAAGGAAAGTAATTAATTTTTCATACAAGTAAATGCAAAATAAGAATTCTGAAATTTCAGAGAATTGTACCTTGAGAAAAGTAAATATCAGAAGAATTACAAACTCGTACCAGCAGTTAACTGGAACGCACTGATTTCTTCAACTTTATCAACTTTGATTTCATATTTTTGGGGTCCATTAGAAAGGACAAAGAAAGAGCCTTATCACCTCCTAGCTCCAACCGAGCTGACGACCCGAGTTTATTGAAATTCTCTCATATGAAAATCTCATTTTCTTTGCCTCCAAGTTTTTCATTTTCCGATCACTGTTTTCTATTTTAGAGAGGGAAAGAAAGAGCACTATGATTTCCAACCAAGTTGACGACTCACCAAGATCATGAAGAGTCTGGTGATTGCAGTGGAATTCTGTTCATCTGGTTTTTGAAACTTTGCAAGCCAAGAATCTCAAACCGAATTCAGGTATGAAAACCAAACCCTCGTTAATTAGTCTTTCATTTTCTGGAGCTGTCACTTACAGACTACATTTGTTATTTGTTCTTCTTTCAAATGCAATCTAAAACAGTCGATAGCTCCTTTAGTGTCTAAAAATAGCCGCAATCAGTTTACATCTCATGGCAAGAAAGTTACAACGATTGATCTTTCTTATTTTTCAGATTCTACAAATTTACCTCTTTCATCATCAGCTTGCTATTACATATTTGAAGATGAAGACAGTAAATGATTGCTCTTCGTGGAATAGAATTTTGATCTTGAAACGGTGCGCTCCTTAGTTTGGAAGAAAAATAGCTTTACATTAAATAAGTTAATATTTCAGGATTTTTCAAGCACACATGTTCTGTCTTTATTAAAATATTTTAATATTATCTCTCAAAAATTTTTAGGATGCTTGAAGAAAAGAAGAGAATCAAATCATTAAGTTTTATATGTTTTATATGCATTTTATTTTTATTGAAGTACATTTTTTTCATTTTTCTTCAAACACTTTTACATTTATTTATTTATTAAATAAAGTAGAAAAATTGCTAAAATCCCCCATTAAAATATTTATTAATTAAAGGTACTTGAAATTTGTTTAAGGATCAAAGTGCAACTCATCTTCGGCATGAGTGGCAAAAGAAAAAAAAAAAAAAACCTTGTTCTTGGCACATGCGACACTTTTTCAGCTATATGAAAAATAGAAGACATTTACATATAAGTGAAGATACGTTGAACGCTGAAAAAGAGTTGCATCTAGTCAACTCAAGTCAAAACACTTTCAAAATAATGATTTGCTTTATTTTATTTGCCCTTTTTTGTTTACCAAACTAATAAACGAACTTGTTAAAAAATCAGTACATCTACCACTTGTACTATGTAGGAATTTCATAAGATACTAGTTCTAACAAATTTTACCAGATCTGGTCATCGCAGCGCAATTCTGTGATTACTCTCCAAAATCTCCAAGCCTAGACTGAAAGTGTAACTTCATCTATCACAGGTATGAAGCAATATCCCTCTCCTGAATTTATTTAAACACTTTCAATGGGCATGTCATCTTGTGAGTTGTGACAATTTGCAGAATATAGGATTTATTGGTAACTCAATTTTATAATTCGGACTTATCTGTAAATTTTCAATACATTTTCATTTTAAAGAAATTTTGTATAAATTAATTTAACTAAGACGTCTTCCCCAATCAATATGAGAGATTATATAATAGTTTTGGCCGTTTTGAAGAATGTGCTATGCTTCATATAAAAGTAGGTGCAAAGTTCAATGATTCTTAGATTAAAAAAATAACATTCCAACATGGGATCCCTAGTACAAAAAATGTAAAAGCGTCTCATATTTTACTTCCAAAAAAGTTGCGCAAATCGATTTATTATTTATCGCATTTGAAAATGAAAATTTTATTCCATAAAGATACTGCATGGCTATCTTTTACTGCTTCATATATCCTTAAATATATAGGAGCAAACTGAACAGTAAACTTGATGAAAAATAAGAAGACCAATTATTGTAACTTTCTTGCTATGAGATATCTCTTAAACTTTTTGCAGCTATTTTTAGACACTAAAGTAACTAAATCTACTGTTACAGATTGTGTTTTTCTATCAGATCAGTGCCAAGTTGAAAGAAAATGAAAGCACCCAATTTATCTATACTTTGAGAACTCAGGGTGTGATAGCAGATAAAGCCTTAATCAAGTATAACAAATAGAAAACACTGATTAGAAAATGAAAGACTAGTTAAAGAGGCAAAGAAAAAGAGATTTTGATGTTCATACCAGATAAGCTTCCGCAAATTGAGTTGATGATTCTTGGCTTGGATGAGATAGTGCTCTTTCGTTTTCCTTTGTTTTTTTCCCCTAAAAGTGAGCAAGATTGTAGTCCTGAAAATATGAAATCAAAATTGAAAAAGTTAAAGCAATATAATCATGCCTTTGGACCAAATGTAAAAGTTAAAGTAAAAAGGCAATCTTATGGTTTTTTTTGAAACGTCAGAATTTTTATTTTGCATTAATGTATTTGGAAAATTAATTATCTGTTATATCATTTTCCAATTTGCTTCACTAATTTTATAAATTATCTTTCTGTTCATCTAACTCCAATACTGTTAGATTCAATAAATAATGATTTTTTATGTCATCATTGTTATTCGCAAAAATTTAATACGTTAATGTTAGAAAATATTTTTTCAATTTTTAAAATTTTAATGCTCGCGTTTTTTATTAATGAAATTAACAATATTATTGTTATGAAGATAGCTTAAAAAGTAATTGTTTAAATTTTATTTATCAAGCTTTGGTAAAAAAAAAAGAAGAAGTACAAATACAAAAAAAATGAAAATACCTGAAAAGTCCCATCAACGACTAATATACTTCATTGTGATATCTTTTAAAATATTATATATTTCTCAAAAAGTGTAACTTACTAATTTCTTTGTTCTTAATGAATACATCTATGATCTCTCTAGCTTTAGTCATATAATTGAATCAAATTAAATATTCTAAAGCCGTATAGTATAACTAGAGAAGGATTGATACACACGAAAGATAATAATACTAATAGTGTGTAGGGAACATATGTTTCACATTTTCCCTCATTGATCTCTTATCTCTCAATTTCTCTTTGACTATATTTTAATTAATTAACTAGTCAAAATGAGTCACCTAGCATTTTAATATATACTAAATCTAGCACTTGTTCAAAATGAGACATTTCCTAAGCAAAAGAATGAAAAAAGTATCTGAATTTCATACATTTATAGAAGCTAAGGAAGGTGATAACAAATTGAAAAAGAGAAACTAAGCATTTGGGCACAAACACTTTTTTTTTTTTTTTATATCTATGACACTTCTCTGGTCCCAAGTATAAGACTTGTTTTGTTGTGTAAGTTACATTGCAAAATGAGTCTCTCAATTCTCAAAACATGAATAGCTTGTTAGATGCTGTCAATTGCTGCTGTCAATTGCAGACTGCATTTTTTCTTCTTTCTTTCACCTTTGCATCAATCTGCAAGGGGGGAAAAATAGAATCACAAAACATTAAGTTTTGTTACTCTAATATCTGAACATAGCAGAGGCCCCAAAAAAACCTGTTATTAGAGCAAGAAAGCTGAGCCAAGACATTTGATCTTTCTTATTTTACTCTGGATTAGGGAAAAAATCATTCTTTTCATCTTGATGACATCTTCATGAAACATTAAGTATGTAATTAAGATACTTCAATTCTTCATAATGAAATTTTCAGTTAGTCAATTGATGATGATGAATGGCTCTCCTTTCAGGTTGCTATTAATACTGAATGGCGGAGGTGGGAGTGTCGATAGCAGCAAAACTTGCTGAATATCTATTGGATCCAACTTTACAGCAACTGCAATATTTGTTCTGTGTCGGCAAAATCACCAGAAATGTTGAGATCAGAAAGGAGGAGCTGATACTCAAGCAACGAAGGGTACAGGAACTTGTTCAAGAGGCCATCAACAGGACTGAGAGGATTGATGATGAGGTTGACAAGTGGAAGAATGATGTAGAGAGTCTCATAGCAGAGGTGGAGAAATTGGAGGAGGAACTAAGGGCCAACAATGGCTGTCATCGACGATGGTATCCTACTTGGAGGAGATATTGTCTCTGCAAAAAGCTGGCTAAGACAACCCAAAGGATGATTGATCTAAACACAAAGAGTGATCGCTTCAATCCATTTTCTCATCCTGTTATTATTCCAGGTATAGAGTATCACTCTTCTAAAGGTTTTATGTTCTTTGAGTCAACAAAAAAAGCACATGATGAACTATGGGCAGCATTGCAAGATGATGATAGCTCTATGATCGGGTTGTGGGGGATGGGCGGTTCAGGCAAAACTACATTGGTAAAGGAAGTAGGAAAGAAAGTCAAAGAATCAAAGCTATGTGATGAAGTTATAATTGCAACAGTTTCCCAAACTCCAAATATTAGGAAGATTCAAGGTGAAATTGCGGACTTATTGGGACTCAAATTGGAGGAAGAAACTGAAGTGGGAAGGGCAAGAAAAATTGCATTGAAATTACAGAGTTCAAACAAACGAATTTTGATTATATTAGATGATGTATGGGATACGCTGAACCTTGAGGATATAGGGAATCCCTATAGGGATGAAGGTCCAAGAAACTGTAAAATTCTTCTCACCACACGTCGTCAAGAGGTGTGTACTATGATGGATTGCCAGAAAACAATTTCCTTGGGTTTGTTAACAGAAGGTGAAGCTTGGGATCTATTTCAAACCCATGGTAAAGTAGATGATGGTGTTAGAAAAGTGGCTCAAGAAGTTGTCGCTGAATGTAAGGGACTACCCATTGCAATTGTAGCCATGGGGAAGTGCTTAAGAAGAAAAGGACTTGATGAGATGAATGTAGTATTGCACAGGTTAAGACATTCAAAGCCACTTGATGAGGATAAAGCTTTTACTTGTCTAAAGTTAAGCTATGATTACTTGAGAACTGTAGAGGCCAAGTTGTTATTCTTGGCATGTGCCATGTTTCCTGAAGATCATGAAATCAAAATTGAAGATCTTTTTAGATATGGAGTTGGATTGGGTCTATGCAAAGATGCTGACTCATTTGAAATAGCAAGGAGCCAAGTTAGAGCAGCTATAAATGTTCTTATTGACTCTTCATTGTTGATGTTTTCTGTCAACTTCGGGAAAGAAAAATATGTGAAAATGCATGACATGGTTCGTGATGTAGCTTTATGGGTAGCAACTCAAGAGAATAGTACCATTATGGTAAACAATGCAAAAGAATGGAATAACTTGATTGCTGATGAAGTTATAAAAGATTGCTATGCTATATCTTCATGGTATGATAATAGTAGATTATTTCAATCTTTGTCTCAACTGGATGCTCCCCAACTTGAGTTTCTGTTGTTACATTCGATGAAACTCTTTGACGTAGTACATGCATCATTTGAACGCACTACAGGACTCAAGGCATTGATTATTACATGCATGAATGGTCGGCATATGATTGAGCTACAACCTCAATCAATTCAACACTTGTCTAATCTTCGAACTTTGCGATTGCAAGGTTGGTATTTAGGTGACATCTCTTTCGTGGTAACTTTGACAAAACTTCAAATTCTTGATTTGCAAAGTAGTTGTTTTGAAAGAATGCCAGATGGAATTGAAAAATTAAACAAGCTGAAGTTGTTAGATTTGTCAAGTTGTAGGATAGATGAATGTTGTTACAAAGTAATAAGAAGCTGCTCACAATTAGAAGAGTTGTATGTCTCCAAACATTCTCCACACTCAAAACATGCAAATTGCTATGAATACCTTGTGGGCCCCAGTGTTTTGATGAAACTGAGAAGGTATAACATAGAAATTGGAGGGGATGGCAAGTACTTGGAATTTCATGATCAAGGCACAAGATCCTTATGCTTAGGTCAGTTAAATATGTCTATATTAAGTGCAACAATTAAGGATCTTGCACGAAGAGCAACAATGGTTGAATTTTACGGGCTTGAGGGAGGTGGCAAAAGTTTCATGCCTAATATTGTCCAAGCTACAGGAGGCATGAATCAGTTAACTAAACTCTATCTTGAAAGGTGTTCAGAAATCGAATGCATCACTGATAAAACTACTCCTCATGAAGATGCTATCGTCCCCAGATTGGATGAGTTAGTGCTAAAAGATATGGATAATCTTAAACAACTACATTGTGGTCCTTCTCCTTTTAGCTTGCTCCAAAAGTTAGAACGACTAAGTTTATTCAAATGCCCTCAATTGCTTCACTTATTCCCTGCTGATTGCAACTTAGGCAATCTTAAGTTTCTCAAAATTTCCACCTGTCCGAGGTTGACGTCTCTCATCCCTGTAGCTGTTGCTTGCACTCTATTATCTTTAGAGGAGCTTCAAATAGAATGTTGCAATGGATTGAAGCATGTAATAAAGGGAGAGGGTTATGCTGATACTTGGGAGAATGCGAGACTTCCGAAATTGAACATTTTGTTTATTGAGGATTGTTGCAATTTAGAGTATGTATGCCCAGTCTTTTTAGCTCAAAGGTTTGAAATGCATCATCTATCCATAATAAATGCTCCTCAGATGAAAGCTGTGTTCGGTGAAAATGCTAGTGAAGGACAACCATTGCCGGATCCAGGTGAGACTCAGCTAGTGCTTCCTTTTCTGGAACATCTCAACCTAAGAAGTCTTCCAAATCTTGTGGGAATTTGCTCGGAGAAGTATCATCCAAGGTGGCCATCTATAAAAATAATAGAGTGGAGGGATTGTCCAAAGATGGTACGCAATCGCTCTTTAATTTGATTTGCAAAAAATGTTAAAAATACTAGTCTTTTATATATGAAAAATTGACTTATATATTGTGAACTCCATTTTTATATAAGCAATGTGCCCCTTCTTTATTGATTTAATTTACCAAAAAAAAAATATGGACTAAGTCTATATCCAAGAATATTCATGTACATGTAGAATTTCTTAGTAAATATATTAATGCTTTTTAGTCCTTCTTTTTTCTTTTTTGCCTTTCACAAAGGAATTACAGGAACTTAAGGGCCATCAATTGAGGAATGAAGTACAAATTCCAACACTTCAATACATTAAAGAACTAGCTTTGGAAAATTGCACAAGATTGAAATTTGTCTTTTCTGCTCATATTTGTCAAAGTCTTCCAGAGTTAACTTCTGTAATCATATCTCGCTGTGAGGAGTTGGAGGCAATTTTTTTGAGGAATGAAGAGACTCAAAAGAATCCATCCATTTCTGAATCCTCTCTGCTAAAATTGAAAAGCTTGAAAATATTTAAGTGCAACAAGCTTAAATTTGTTTTATCTTTCATGATCAATGCTGCTACCTTGATGCTTCCACAACTATGCACTCTAATCGTATCAGATTCTTCGCAAATGGAAGAAATTTTCAAGTGCTCAAATAGTGAAGATAATGATATTGACAAAAAAAGGGAGATTACATTCCCAAACATGGCATATGTGGAACTTAATAATTTGCCTAGACTTGTGAATGTCTGCCAAGGGTTTAAGTGGTTTAAGTTACACACAAGGGAGTCTTGCATAGTTAAGGTTCACGGCTGCCCAAAACTTTTTCCAGTTATGAGAGCAACCATTAATTGGACTAAAGGGGTAAGTATTATTCTGCATTTGTATTTCTCAATGCTTCATTTTCCATACTGCAAATCTTGTTTATGTATTATTCTGCAATATTATAAATTGACGCTAGGTGGATATTTAATGCTTCTATTTTTGACAAAGGTTCTCATTATTTTTCTGAATGTTTTGTTCATTTAAGGTAATGAACTCCGATATAATATCTTCATTATTTTCTCACTTGCATAAGATCATATCTACATATAAAAGCTTGTTCGAAAACAAATGCTGCTGCATACAAATCAAAGCTATCAAATTTGTGAATTGCATGTGTTAACTTGTGCTCCTTCAATAAATTAAATACCAAATAAAAGATGTCATTTCTCTACAGTCTGATCGATAGGAATCACATAATGTAGTGAAACATGAAGAAGCATTTGACATAACAAAGTAGTTACATTATGTTAAATGCATTACAATCTCCAGTCTCATCTAGAGTGTAAAGATTTTGGTTACTTTGATCTCTTTCTTGTCTTTTCGTGACATTTCCAAGGAATTTATAATACATTACCCCCCTTCCTCTTTTATATGCAGAGACTTGTAAGGGAGTATGAGTTGAAAGGCAGCCAATTAAATAATAACAACGAGGCTCTCAATCTTCCACTTTCTATTCTAAATGCTGGAGAGCTTGATATTCAAAGTCCTATAGTAGAACACAATTGGCGAGTCATTGGTGATGGTCAAGAGCAAGAAGAAACCAACGGCTTAAGTCTTGTTCCCACACAAGTTTTGAGCTTCCAATATGTTCATTCCTTAGAAGCAACTCACATTAAAAAATTGAAGTTTCTATTCTCAATGAGCACTATTGTCAACAAAGGCCTTCCCAAATTGACTTCCTTAACCTTATCTGATTGTGAGGAATTGGAGGTGATTTTTGGACATAGTAGGGCAGAGGATGCCAACGACAACAGTGAGACAATTGTGCTTTCAAGCTTGAGGAAAGTGTGGCTAACGAATTTGCCAAATTTGATGAGTGTTTGTCAAGGGTCGCAGTTTCAGGGGCAGCTGAGCCACATCAGCATACGCAACTGCCCCAAATTTTTGGATTCAAGTTTGGGAAGAGCTCTTCAACAATTGGGAACAATATTGGTATGACCGAATATTCTATATCATCTTTGATTAATATTGGATTACAATCATATAATATCGTTTTGCTAGCTGCAACTGTATAAGTTAAATAGGGAACTTATAAATTACAAAGAGACCTTCAACGACATGAAGAATAAAAACAATAGTTGATGTATGTACACAACTAGGTTTCCTTTCAGTCTCAGAGCACAATAGATGAAAATATTGAATATACATGTGATTTCATTTCATGTTGTTTTTTGAAAAAAAAAAAAATTAAATGTTCATTGAAGATATTCTTTTTAAATTTTCATGTACAACCATATATCAAAATTTTGACTATGAAATTTCACCCAAAAAAATAAATTGACAATGAAAGGATAATTGTGTGTTTAATCATATACATTCATGTATAAATATTTGTATGTCAGTAAGGAGTTTGCTCGGTATTCTTACAACTTTTCTTATCTTTTTTAAATCCAGGTCTTCAAAAAAAAACTTTTACTACTAAATTTGATTGATGTGAATAAACATTTGTCTTTTTTAAATTGAAACTGTAGTTTCCGCAGGTTTCAACCGAAGATTCCAATGTTCGAACTTCATCAAATGGAGAAGAACCATTGGCTGGAAATGAAGAAAAAGGGATGATCTTGATTTCAAGAGTAGAGCATTTGTCTGTGGAGGATTCAATCAACCTCATATCCATATGGGAGGATCCCACTTTCATCATCTTCCAAAATCTTGAGGAGTTAGCTGTGATTAATTGTGGAAAACTGAAGTGTATATTCTCTAGCACCGTGATCAGAAACCTACCATGTTTAAAGAGTCTGCGCATTAAAGAATGTGAAGAGTTGGAGGAAATGATGTCATCAGAACATCACTTTCCAGATGCATCCTCAAGTTCCTTCTGCTTCCCATTACTTGAAACTCTTGTTGTCTTTAGATGCAGAAAGTTGAAACGCCTCTTCCCCTCTCTGCCCTCTACTCAACATCATCTTCCACAATTGCGACAGATGACGATTGGAGAGTGCTCTGAACTAAAAGGACTTTATAATTGCGACGAACTTGAAATCCATGAGGAAGGCTTCATCAACAACAAACTTCCAAACCTCACATTTTTTCTGATCAAGAATTGCCCTGTCTTTTCCAACACCACACTTGCTGCTCTTGAAAGGCAGATACGCTGGTAACTATCCATATTTACCATTCAAATAAGGCGAATTTACAACTGAAAACATATCTATACATTATTTAATACTCAAATAATATAAATTTACAAATGCAATAATGAGTATTTAGTATTAGTGGTCCTTAGGCTTAGTTTTCCTTTATATATATATATATATATAAATGTATACACACACCTACAAAGACTGTCTTTTCTTTTTGAAAAGACGTAATATTGACATGAAAGTTTTCTCATATTTGTACAGTCGGCTGGGGTTATTGCGATGAAGATAATTTCTGTTACTATGACGGAGGAGGATATGAATGCGATGGTGATGCTTTGAGATTGTGTCTGCTTCTTGTTCCTGCATTAAATTACGAAAGAGTTGCAATTGTGCTTGTGATAGTTGCCTTACAATGTTTAATATTTGCTTCATTTTTATTTTTGAACACTTTGGTTTGTTGTCTACACAAACAAGTGATACTTTCTGCTTTCTGGAGTTTCAACGAACACCTGTGCCTATCCATATTCAAGGCAAAAACAAGGTATATTTGAGCTGATTTTGATTTCCAAGTGACATTAATTAAGAAAAAATTATCACTTTGAGTAAATTTCAATTAATATATTCTTAAACTAGAAACTTCTCCTCACATAAAAGTTGATGATTAATTAATAATTAATTATTAAGGTATTAATATTTCAACTAATAGATACCATGACGTATTTAATTTTTAGCCATTCTCTCTTTTGTAATATTTGACCACCTCAATAGCCTTGAAAAATGAGATATCCTAAACCCAACCTGATCCATTTTGAAGCGAATCAGATATTACAAGATTTTTAGGTATAAAGTTGATGATGATGATTATTATTATTATTAAATGTTAAGCTATAAATTTGCCTCTAAATTATTTTTCCAAACTTATTGATTACCTAAAGTGTAAAACGGTGCAATGTCAGTACGGAATTATTAATAAATTTGCTTTCAATGCCTTTCGTTTTCTATATTTATCTATTTTGCCTTCACAAATAATTCATAAGGTAACTGTACATGTTAAAGGATTTTCTCCAAAAGTAGTTACAATGCATATAATTAATAAGAGTATTTTGAGAAAGACAATATTCACAAATAAATTATTTAGTTCTTATATTAACGATTAAAAGTACTACATGTTAACATGTAATTAAACCAGCATTTAGTACATCAAACATATATATAGAAGCCTAGCATGTGACGAGAATCTTGCCAATAGAAAGATGGAGAAGATAAACATAAAATAAGATAATGTAAGGCACGCTCAGGAAAAGTACTAAGATTACCAACTATACACAAACACAATCCCAGTATGAAAAATGCTGTGGGCGAAAATCTACAGGCTAAAGGATATATTATAACAATGTAACTTCTCAAGTTAAAGCTTTCGAGGGAGAGAAAGTATTTACGAATACACACATATATATCCAACCACAAAACAATTTAATATTTGGAAGCGTTGTTCAGTTCATTCTCACTAACTTTTGACAAGTAAAATACTGGGCATAAGTCAATACATAGAGAATGGCTATGTTCTCTAGTACGACATGATAGATTTACAATGTTCTTTGTTGTGAAAGAAATAACACAAAACAGAGCAAAACAGAGCAAGGCGATTGTTCATAACAAAAACAAGAGATTGTCAATATTTTTTTGGTTTTGGGGGGGGGGGGGAGGCGCTTGTTGATAAACACACCCACTTGTCAACAAGCCTTCAAGAATATGAAAAACAAGATGTGATTGTCCACAAAAATACGTAATTGTAAATAGAATGAAGGGTAAAATGTGCAAAAATACCCTTTACAATGTCCAAAAAGAGTACCAGGTATCATAAAAAAATATTGGGAGCAAAAATACAAATGAATATTTTAAAACAGAGCAAAAATGCCACATCCGTTAACTCTGATAAATGTCTGTTATTATTATTATTATTATTTTTTGCCTCACCCAATGCCCACGTGTCAAGTGCTTCCATCCTACTCAACCCTGCCTCCTTCTCATCCTTCCTCTCTCTCGGGCTGGAGCCTCTATAATCTCTTACGCATTCTTGAAGCCACTTTGCCTCTCTCCTCCTTACTGAACATTTCATCTTTGTTTCTTCACTTCACGCCTCATTGTCCCCCCCTCCCGTCTGAAGCTATGATAAACCGTTCACTCAACTTCTACCTCCTTTTCTCCTTCTCTTGCGTTTTTGCCAGTGCCACTCCTTGCTCCATTAGTCTCAACTACGGCACCGTGTCCTCTTCCTTGCATCCTCACCTTCCTTTTATCATCAACCAACATCGACTGTGTCATAATATTCAATGCCTACCCCCTTATACATTGTGCCTTTGACAACACTGGCACTGTCGTCACCGTTAAAAATAGCAACATCCTTACTCTCTCCAAGCTTGCCGCCGCTCAATCCTGGGTGTGGTTGACAACATCCTTCCATTTCATCCTAATGCTATAGCTGTTTGACTTCCACATTATTTGTTTTTTCTACTCGACTTTTATTTTGTTGTGTTGGTTTAAAAAATAAGGTGGCAGGGTTGTAAGTTGGAGAGGAAGAGGGGGAGAGAGAAAGGAATGAGGCATGAAGTGTAGACTGAAGAGACAAAGTGTTAAATGGGGAGGAGAGAGGCGACGGTGCCTTTGACATCCTTAGAAGCTGGTAAGTGAAAATGGTTTTATGAGGGGGGATGAGAGAGAGAAAGGAAGGGTGAGAATGAGAGACTAAGTTGACCAAGATAAGAGACCGCATGGGAAGAGGCGAAGAGCATTAGACACGCGGATACTAGGTGGGACCCACAACATAAGGTAATGGACATTTGTCAGAGTTAACGGAAGTGGCACTTTTGCTCTGTTTTAAAATATTTTTGTGTATTTTTGCTTCCCATATTTTTTTATGGTGCCAGGTGCTCTTTTTGGACATTATAAGGGGTATTTTTGCACCTTCACCTTAGAATGAATTTGAAAACCAGATAAGATTAAGTTATGAAGACCTTGACTCCAACAAGATAATTTCTTTTTGAAAACCTTTTAGATTTACTGTTATAAATTTCTTAATTACATTGAAAATTTCATAACCAAATAGATCCTTGTAACTCTTCAATCTTCGGTGCATTGATTTGATTCTTTTGCCTCACTGTTTCAATTAACTATACGTTTTCATCTTCGCGAAACAATCTTCTCTATGTTTTGTAATCATCAAAACATGCAAAAAATCTAACATTTTCTTCTCTTTTTTATGATGATGACAAAATATTGATTTAACAAATTAGTACTAGAGAAAAATAGCGGGGGTGGGCTTTGATCCCACTACCCTTTGGTCATTTGAGCTAATTAAAAAAAAAAAGACCATTAGGCCACTAATGATTTGTTAATTTTATAGTACAAAAAAATATATAAGTTGATCTTTTTACTGTGGCTCCAGCTCATGACATCAATTTATCTGGGAATGATAAGTCTTGATTGAAAAATGATAAGTTTAAATTTAATATTAACAAAACGTTTTTTTTCCTGATATATAACAAGAAATAACATATGCACTAGTTAAAAATGACAACAATTTATCTTGGAATGACATGTCTTGATTAGGAAATGACAAGTCTAAACTTGAAATTAACAATATGTGTTTTCCTTACACATAACAGGAAATAATGTGCGCATTAATTAGAAGTGAAAAAAATTGATTTGGGATTGATAAGTATTGATTATGAAATGACAAGTCTTGACTTGGAATTAACAAAGTGATTTTGCCTGATATATACATAACATGAAATAAGATGTGAATTAATTAAAAATAACAACAATTTACTAGTGAATGACAAGTCTTGATTGTAAAATGAGTTGTTGTCACATGGCAATCAAGACTTGTCATTTCCAGATAAATTATTATCATTTTTAATTAATGGACATATTATTTCCTGTTATGTATCAAGAAAAAAATATATTGTTAATTTTAAGTTTAGATCTGTCATTTTCCAATTAAGATATGTCATTCCTAAATAAATTGTTATCTTTTTTAATTAATACACATGTTATTTCCTGTTATGTATTAGGAAAAAACACTTTGTTAATGTCAAATTTAGATTTGTCATTTTTCAGTCAAGACTTGCTATTTTTAGGTAAATTATTATCATAGGTTGGAGTCACAGTAAAAGAGTCAACTTATATATCTATATTTGTATTATAAGATTAACAAATCATTGGTGGCCCAATAATCATCTTCTTTTTGTTGGCCCAAATGACAAAGGGGCAATGAGATCAAATCTCACCCCCATCACATTCCTTAAATAATTTCTCACATGGCAAAAAAAAAAAATGTCACCAAAAAACACTTCGCTGGCAGCCATGGCACTGGCAGCCAGCACCGGCGACATTAACCTTTAAAAAAACAAAACAAAGGGGCTTTTTGTCATTTTCCTCAGATTTCAAAATTTCTTCTCTGTCATTTCCAACCTTGAGTTTCCCAAATTGCGATATCCTTCTGCCTTCTTTATTTGTCATTCTCCCATATTAAAATTGTTTGCTTGAAAATTTTATGCAAAATAAAAGTTATTTCACTTTAGTCAAAAGTTGCTTTCTTAAGTACTCTGGTTTAGGGCTGATTACTGATCGTTAAATAATTAATTATTTAGATTAGATATGTTGTGATCCTCCAGTTTCTTGTGTTGGTTCTTTAGTTTACATGCCTGGATTAACCCCTAAATATTAACCCCTAAATAAAATATAGCAGCCACTTGCATTTGTTTAAGGCAGATTAATGGCAATGGGATTAATAATGAAACCCACTATGATTAATTTTCACTTTCTGCTTTTCCTTTATGCATTATTAGTCTTTCTTTTTTAGAAACTTTTTAATTTCATGGGAGAATTAACAAGAAATCTTAAGGAAGAAATTTAATTACTAAAAAACCCTAAGAACAAGTGACTAACTTGAACATGTTGTCATTCTCCATTTTAGAAGTTTTAATTGTTTACTCTTCACTTGTCGATAGATTTTAATGTAATTAAATTCCATTCTTTGAACCTGATTGTAATTCTCCCTAATTTCATTCCTTTCCACGTGGGTCATATCTGTTATTACGCCAAGTTACTTTAACGTGTGAGGTAAGATTTCCGAATGGAATATGGGATCTAGCTAGTTCCGAGAGAATTCGCACTAATGTTACTTGGTATTCTAATCATATAGGGTTAATGAACGATACATGAGAAAGCTAGAATATAATTAACATGTATTGTATACGTATATACATATATGCAAAATTGCTTAAATTTATCATCATCATCATAAAGTACACAATAATTAGGCAAACAAATGAATTTGAGTCACAAAAAATCATCACTTGAGTCTTAACGATATTCCGGTTAGATGACTAAAATCTTAAAAAATCCTTTATAAAATGAATGGACCAAATTAAGAAAACGACATAACAGACAATTAATTTTCCAGGAAAAAGAATGCAAACTG